TTTGCGCTGCCAATGAAACATTAAGAACTTAACAGTGCATGCTTTATAGGTCAAAGTGTGCAGACCATTTTTAGGAGTTTATAACTTAGTAAATGCAAAAACAATTTTTATTAATAAATATATCAACAATGATAACTTCACAGACTCATTTGACCATCAACATTCCATACCTGAAGGGAAAAGTACAACATTAGTGACATTGAAACAATGTGACACGAGCCCCATGCATTCTATTGTCTCCCACTTTATAATCCGTTCATAAGCATTGGCCTAATTTCGGGGGTTTATGGAATATATATGCAAAATAAAACGCTTGTTAGCCAATCAATGCCTCAGAATCACATTCAATATATTTAGATTTTTTCATTCGGTGAAAATTTTCTGTTTCTTTATACCACCCACTATCCTTTTTTGCAAAGCGAAATGACCTTTGAAAATTAGTTCCATCATAAATCTCACTATTTTTGACACATTACAAATTGAAATTCACAGCATTATTTGGTTTATTTTTTGGAATGTAAATATCAGATATTTACTTTGTGAATTGAATTTTAGAGATAGCATTTAGTGATTACTGATATCTGTTTGAAGGGGAGGGACACATATGTCCCTCTCGCATCCAAAGAGCTAAAGGGGTTGTAATTTTTTTTAAATTGCTTACTGTTGACAAACCAAGATTTTGACAGAGGCCTTTCCATCAGGTGTGTCTTGAACAATTGTATTTCAGTTCTAAAAGAGGAAACTATCTTTTCTATTTGTAGTAATAATAAAGATTAAAGGAGGAGCACTGAACTTAATGTTGTGAGTCTTAAAGAAGAGCTTAAGTGTACAAGGTTGTGACACTTGAATACTGCTCCTACAACTCCACCTCATTCCAGAGCTGGGCTTCAGTACTATTACAGTTCCTACAGCATCAGCAAGCACATCTTACATCTCCAAGGTCATTGGACAAAGAAAAATCTATTTACACAGAACTTTCAGGCTTATTCAATATCTAAACATGAACTGTCACTAAACCTGCTCATTACTGGTGTGACTTGGGTTTGTGAGACCTGGGAGACAGGTAGAGGCTTACTAGCCCCGAGCAGCTCCAGGGTCACAGCGAGGTGGAGGGTGAGCCAATGAAACAATTGCATGGCTGATTACAGGCAGTTATGTATTTGTTTATGAGTCAGTTGTGACTCTTGTCCAGGCAAATTTGGTCAGTAGACAGACAAAGGTGGTGACAAGATGTTACACCTTTGTTTGAAAACGCCCAGAACATCCAATTAGCTTACGTGTCTTATCTTAGGATCACTGAAAAATTACCAGGTGAAAAATATATATGAAAAGTAAAAGAGTCACATTTGTAACTTGTATATAATTGACAGATGTCTTGGTCTGATTGACAAGGCTCCTGTTACATCACAGGGGTGGTTGGGTATCCTAGTTGATAATGCGTTGGATTGTGACAACGAAATCCAGGTTTTGGTGGCCCTCATAGGCACCGGTACTGTACCATTCTACCAGTCTCCTATATTAACAGTGCTAAATATGGCGTAAAACCATATTCATTCTCTCCCTTTCTTTTCTTCCTCTCTTTCTCTCACATTTCCACATGCCCAATACATTCTGTAACAACTTGCATGGAGTATGTATGGTATACAACTGTTTCAGAGATGTCGCTTTCACTGGGTACAAACAGGCAGGGTTTCAGAGTGTAAATATATGTGTGTATTTGACAGTGGTTTCCAGATAATCGGTTTGTTAACTATCATGGGAACAGGAAGAAGGAACAGGGAGCTTTTCATCCTGGCAAATCAGTCAATAGTGTCCAGACAGAAGGGGCGTGTATAGGCTCATATGGCAAACATATAGCAAACATATAGCATCTCCACTGTGTGTATCTTGTATACCAGGCTCTTCTCAGTAAGGATCAGGAAGCTGTCTATCATTAACATGCTCTAATACTGCTTCACTTTTGGAATGTACGTCTGAACATCATATACATCCAAGAAACAAACAGGATATAGTTACATCCTGTTCTGCGTGATAGTGGGTGTGTATGACATAGGACAAAGACCATCAACATTGTTTATAACACTCATGTCAGAAAATGTTGCTAGAATTTCTCTAGACGTACACAGAAGCCGATATTCAGCCTGAAGTCTCTCACAGTTATCCCAAAACATTCCCAAATTGGAATTGAAAAGAATCTCACATTGTTAAAGCATTTCTGAATTTGAAAAAAATCAGGATTTAAATTAGAATCCCAGTTTTGAACGATGAGTAATTTCAAACAATGATTCTGTAGTACCAGGATCTTGGATCATGTGTGTTGAGTAATTGATGCTTCTCATTGTTTGTGAAGTAATAACAGCATGGTGTATCCTGTTCTGTGAAAGGAATTCTCAATTCCAAGAAATATTTAATTTGTGCTGATTTTGAATTAATTTCAGATGTATATGTATATGTGTGTGTGTGAAAGTGGATGTAATTTTACTCACTATGTGTTCTTTTGAGTAATCCAACTTAAGTGGAGAAAAGTCTAGACATGTCTCAAGACAAGGAACATAATGTATGTGTTGTGACTCCTCACTGTTCCTTTGTCAACTGTGTGTATTTAGGCAAAGGAATGTTCAAATATATTCCAGGAAGTGGCTATAGACAGTGGCCAAATACAGAGGGTAACTGCTTCTAAAAGGCTCAAGAAAAGCAGCTTTCAACAGTGAAACGGTCCCCAAGAGATTATAATCCATAATACATTGGAATATATTCTACTTCTGTAATGTCAGACTATTGATGCCGAAATCTCAAAGTGGTACTAATTAGTAGACTTGGCCAGCTTACTGTGTGATCAGCCATAAATTACTCTCACTATTCAGGATTGAATTAGCTTATCTCAAAGGAAACAAAGGTATAATGTGTGGAAATGTTTTAAAACTCTTTGTTTCATTTCATAATCTTTTCCTCATGAGGTTTTCTGCAATTTGTAATTGACTAGAAATACAAATATATGTACTTCTGTACTTGTTTTTGTAATTTGGTTGACATTATACCTCGTATCTGTTGGTATATGTGACTGTCAGTCCTGGAAGATTGCTTTCATAAAAATATAAACAGTTGTATATTTTAAAACAAATGTGATTTGTGTGTTTAGGGAGAAATAGCTCACTCTTGTATCTGGAAACACTTAAAATCTCACAGGAAATGAGAAGCTTTGTTCTCTTGTTCACTATACAGGAGTGGTAGGTACTTCCGATCATTGACACTCAGGTTTACAAAATTGTGTTGACCAATTTGGATTGGGTGATGATGTGTGATTGCTCATGCTGTTGACCACTGGTCTGCCCTCCCAGCCTCTTTAACATCCACATGTCTTGGTGATATGGCTTGTTGAAGACTGGGTGAAAATAGGTGAGGTTTTTAAACTCACCACTGAAATAACCCTCTGACCATATTACAGTTTATAGTTCTGGACAGATTACTTTCAGTTTAATAATATTATATGGTCTCTGGTTTGACACAGTATGACAAATATACATTAAAAAATTAGGAACAGTTTTTTGTGTGAACTGATGTCATCAAAGAAACAGATTAATATAACCAGGAGTGAACAAAAGAGTAGAGATTTAGCTACGTTTGTTTTCACAATCCCTGTTTTCTTGATATATGATTGAGGATTCAGAGCTACAGATAAGGGGCGTACAGGCGTAATGTATGCCAAAAAATCAGCGAAGTATGAGGTAATATATAATTTCAAGCGTGTCATGTACGCACATTGATACCTTTGTATGTCTAACATATATAAAGTTTAATAGCTGAAAAGTTGTTTAATATCATAAATAACAAACCACATCACCAACTTGCTCACACAAAAACATGTCAGTACTCCCCCAAAATTCTCAGTACACCTCCACTTGCAATACACCCCAACCCCCCTAAAAGTTATCTTGAGCCCTGGGATTGTTCAGTCATGAACTAGGTGGAGTTTGTGATAATAATGTTTAAAAATATCCAGCATTCACTCAACCAAAATAACAAACCTGTGAGCTAAGATACAGCAACATCAGGAATCATATTTATTTCTCCATGGAAACTGCCTGTTGTTAACACTAGGCTACATCCTAGCTGTTGAAGATTAATGGCAGATATTATCACTTGTGGGTATTAAAAATCTACTCCTGTGTTGTGAACAGCTACTTTGTGTGACACTGTTATTAGTGATTGGCTGCAAGATGGTTATCCACCAGGCAACAGGACACAGTGTTCAACTTTCACTCTTCATGTTGTTGTTTTGTCACCCTTCTTTATGAAATAATACTGTGTGTTTGCTCTGCTCAGAGCTTAGGTTAAATATACATCATTTTATGTTGACAGTGTCACATGTTATTGTTTTACTGATAAAAACAGAGAAGAGGAGCTTCATATCTGGGAGAACAAACTCAGGTTCTCTGAAAATACTTTCCTGATCACTGTTTCTCTCACCACGTCCCTGTTATATGTCACGATTAAGGATAGGCATGATCAGGATGAAGATTATGTTCTAGTATGGAAGGGAAAGCTTTTGTTATATATGTGAAAGGTGAATTACTGTATTGACATATTCACACAAGACATATTGTTATAGGGTATATTTTTGAAAGATGGTTTGTGAAAAGACTTTCCTGTCTTGACGCTTGGAGGACTTGGCCATGACAGGTGTAGCCGGCATCCTCCCTTTATTTCTAGATGAATAGCCCCATCTGCTCCGTGCTTGGGCCAGTCGATTATTGTTGACACACACATATCATGAATTGTCGATAGGCATCTATGAACGCTGTATTAATGGCTGGAGATGCCATAGTTAAGCAAGTTGCTAATAATGATAATTTATGCACAGCAGAGAATGTTGTCTCCCTTATTCCTTTGGTAAGATCACATGACTGTAGGTGATTAACATAGCCTGTCTGTGTTGCCTTTACCATCGCCCGCCCGCCCGCCGCCCGCCTGCCTATATGCTGCCAGCTATGACCCACCCTCCCTCCCTCGCTATGACTGAGTGACTGACTTGGTGCTGCACTCTGGCTGCCTCACTCACCAGCTAGGTAATGGCGAGGGCCAGGTGAATCGCTAGCTGCTGTATATGTGAGAGTTTCCTGTGAGTAATGCAGAGGACAGAATGGGGATCGGGAGGGCAGGGCTGAGTTGGGAGGGCCATTAGGACACACTACTACAACCCACGTCACAGTGTGAGGAGGAAGTAAACTCTGGGAGTGTACAACACACAGTCAGTCAGAGGAAAGCCGTGTTTGTTCCCCTTGGAAAGAGGACATGCTCTGGATGGTCTGTTCCTCCCTCTGATCAATAGGTAAGCGCGTTCTGTGGTGTCGCTACTGTGACAATTCAACCCAATTGAACGGCCGCATGGTCAGTGTTTATTTGTATCACGGACGCAACTAGTGACTGCTCTTTGTTCTCACGATTCCTGTTTGTGTGTGAGCTTGATTGGACGACAAACAAAGGCCAGCACAATTTTTATCAACAACAGCCAGAACTGGCATGGTGTGTTTTTGCGTATTCGTCTACCTGCCCTGAGGCAGACAACAATCACAGCCAGGACTGAGCCACTGAGGGACAATCGCATTAGACCTGTCTCCAACTCTCACTGCTCACACACAGAGCAATCCTCGTCTAAAGCAATATGTCCTGTGATACCCACAGCTCTCACAATCAAGTGTCAACCTTGGGAAATAGCCTACTTCTAGAGAGGTATCATATCTGCACTTGAAGTCGCCAGCCAGGTATACAGTGTGTGTGTGAGAGAGTCGACTCGTCTCAGCCTGTATGGAGTGACTGTGCGTAACCTGCCACTGAGAGACGAACACGTGGTTAAGGCCACATGTGCAGCCAGTGAGTAGTCTGTATACACTACAATAGTAGCTGTAGTAATCCAGTCATAACACATGTAGCAGCCATCTCGCTACAGTAAGCTGATCAACTGAATTCGTAGCTCTTATGAGAATGGCAACCTAGGACCACAAACAAAGGTAGCTAATGTCATCAACTAGCTTTCACTAATCTAATGAGAGAAGGCTCGATTGATTTGGTGTGTGGTGTTTTCATTGGTAGATCATGCTTCCTTTGTGTTGACTGTCCTTTGTGTTTGGTGTCTATTGTTACATACAGTCCCTGACATGGCTGAGAGAGCAACACCAGAAAAGCATGCAGCTCACAGCTAGCCCACTTACATTTCAGCAATTTGCATGAACTGGACACTGGGCAGTGGACAACTCTTTGTGAAATTAACATTGACTGTGGTATAAAGACCTACCTCACCTTTACCAGCCAGTTGATAGTGTCTACTCATGTGCTACATGTATTACTAGTTGGGCTGGGATCTGCCTTCACAGACAACTGATTCCCTGCACATCAAGCTAGGGACGCTAGAGTGACCGTGTTCACTACCTGTCAGAGGTAAGAGGCTGTGTCGTGTATGGAGATAGTGACAGTGGGCCAGTGTTAGTGAAGACTTAGATCAGTGGAGAAGGGCTTATCAAGGACTCTGTAACACTAACTGACCTTTCTGTGACTGTGGTCAGTCTCAGCTTACATGATGCATGTGCTATGACAACTTCATCATTACATCATCTTTCCCTTGAGTGTACGTTTGACCACATCTCCTTTGGTTACCTGGAAAGCTAATGAAGCATTGAGGTCAGGAAGAGTATGCTGGCACGGTCTATACAGCCTACATCAAGCAGAGGACACTCGACTCTCAGCCTGCGAAGAGGAGGAGTTGCATGCCACTGTGTTAGCCTCTCTGTATACATTGTGTCTACTATCAACACTTGACTACAGTTGACATCAGTCAACTGCTTCAGGATCTGTGAACATCCCTGGAACACCTGCCATTATGGGGAAGCTCACAGAAGGGAAGTCTCCTGTCAAGAGAGAAACTGTCAGTGCCAGTGCCAACCTTGAAGTGGTGAGTGAAGAAAAATTTGCTAAAAGACTTGAAGGTTTAAGTTCGTCATGTATTAATTGTCAGAAAGAGCGCACAAAGGGTCAGCGTCGGCACCCCCAGAAGGGGAAACGTAAACAAGTGAAGGCTAATACCCCTATCGTCATCCACCTGAAAGACACACTCAAGGCAGCTCTACAGCAGAGGCAGAGGAGTCTGGAGGAGGACTCTGAGGCCTCGGTGAAATCAGGGGACAGTGACCTGCCCCACGACCAGGAGGATATTATTACCTGTGTACCTAAATACTCACTGAGGGACTTACATAAAGATAGACCTCACAACTACAAGAAACATCATCACCACAACAAGTCAAAGAAGAAGGATAACAAGAATCTAAATGCACTCATTTCTGTCATTGAAAAAGCTCATCACAAAGACTCTAGGAATTTAGAATGCAATTTTGCCAAAGACAATCCTTTGCTTAATTCAAAACTTTCTGATATGCTCAACAATGCAACTCGCTCAAATGAGATAGATGGTGCTAAACGTCGCAGTATTGTTGAATGTGAGAATGTGGAACTTATTTGTAATGACTTGTATAACACTGAGAAACATTTGGAGAGCCTGGAGGACACAGAGAGTGATAAATCCTCAGTGGCTTCAAGTTCTGAGAACTTTTCTGTGTCAGACTCAGATAGTATTCAGGTTGATGACACTGTTCCCTTTGAGTTCACCCCTGAGGAGTTAGAAAAACTAGCCAACTACACCACCGGATTTCCCTTGATTCGTTACGACTGCCCTCCGTCCGAATGTCCGGAGTGTCTGTCAGCCTGGTACAGCTATCAGTATTACACTTTTCAAGATTACAGCATTTTACCCGAGAAGAAATCCAGCAGTGCATCAGAAAGGGGTGCACGTGTAGAGGGTGCTGAAGCCGATGTTGTTACTGTGGATATAGGAGCAGCAGGGGCTACAGCGGCAGTAGACTCTGACAAAACACTCACTGAAATTGACTGTGACTTGGGCACAGATGAAGAAATAGAAATCGAAGGGGAACATGTGACCACATCTCAATATCAGAAGGCACATCGTCAGCTGTGGGACATAGACATTTCATCACAACGAAGACACAAGCCCGACCACTCTTTTCCAGACAGTGTGTACATTGACTTGACAGGCACTGACGTGTCTCTTTCAGTGTATTATCATCACAATCAGTCTTCTCAAGATGCAAACTATGCAAATACTCACAGTAGCAGCAGTAACGGCACCACGTGGTACCCACAACACGTGCCTGGCTACTACTGGCCGACGTCCTGCTACCAGATGCCCCTGTACAGTCATCATCACCTATCATCACCGTACTTACATTCCAACAACTCACTTCCAAAAACTGCCATGGTGCCACCAAGAGATCTTAAAAAATGTAAGTAGAACTTTTCCACAATCCAACCAGGCTCTGCTTGTTTTGTTCCTACACTGCTACCGCAGTCATGGGAGGGGGTATTGGGGTAGCCTTGCTGTTAAAGTGTTATCGTCATGCCAAACACCCAAGTTCGATTCTCCCAATGGGTACATTGTGTGAAACCCATTTCTGTTTCCCAACCTTGCTGGAATATTTATAGAAGCGTAAAACCCAACACACTCTGTTGTGTGACAAGTGTTTTGGGTTGAAAGGGGGTTCATTGAGTATAATGGAGAATATTCACTTTTCTTTACAATAATGTCATTTGAAGAATGGTGTGAAGACCTAAAGAAATGCATTAATAAGTAAAGAGCTTATGGGAAGATGGCATTACACTTATTAGTGGAGACAAAAGATTAAAACAAAATCTAATATCTTTGTTCCATTGCCTGTACTCCTCAAAAGGGTATCAATTATTGATGAGACCATCAATTGTAGGTCTTGGTCTGGTTAATTGATGTAAGCTTTGTCAATGTGGCACCCTGTGAACTGGAACCAAGCTTCCATCTGCAAGCCATCTCCCTGCAATGCTCTGTCGTAATATTCACATCATCTAGACCACATGAGCCTTGTCAAGGCAGTGATTCTCTCCCCCCACCCAAGGGAAGGAGACAGGGTAGGGAGTGCGAGATCATTCAGTAGTTCCTGTTGAGGTAACCCTAGCCCTGTGCCTCACTCAAGGTGTGAGCAGTGCACTTATCACACTTCCATAACCTTTGTACACAACTTCTCATACCCTTCTAAACGAGACCTCCATTCAACTCATAATGCTTTCAACACACTCTGTACTTTCATAGGTCAGGTTCCTGGGCTACTTGTTACTAACAGTTGTGTATTGAGGAAATAATAACATGTGTTTAAGCAGAAATGTATTTTAAAGAAAAATTAACATACATTTTTAAATGTTTTAAATATATAGGGCTTATGGTATTCTGACAAAGATATTTGATATTGTAAGCATGTGAGACTGTATGTGATAGACTGATAGCCAGTGTGTTGGTGACTGGGTATCTTATATTGATTATCTTTAGTCACCTATATCACCTTCAATGATACTGTGTAGCTCAATGAGATCACCTTGTAGTGCTGTATCTATTTCACTTTGAAAGTCAATAACGGTTGAGAAATAACCTATTTTCTCTGCAATGGTAATTGGTGTACATTGTATGTGTGTAAGGTAGTAACTGCAATGCGTCCCGATAATGTTGAGTCATGTGTCTCATGCTGTTGTGCTCAATTACGTGGGCAATCAACACTACAGTTATTTATCAGAATGAATTCGAGAAAACAGGATGTGTCTGAGATACGTATGTGACAAACAGTCAACCGATGACAAATTTGACGTGCTTAAAGTCAACAATATAACACTTAAAGCTTCCACAACTCAACGTGTAGAATTCATGCTGTTATAAAAGTCACTGTTTTCAAGGCATGTGCCATGTGTTTTTCCGTGTTTGAGAACTATTGATAAGTCGAGATGTTAGAAAGTAGATTAATGGGATAAGGAAGTATGTTGCTTCTTTCATCCAATTTAACTCCAGTGAGTCTGTTGCTTGCGATCACCTGGCCTAGTTGTGACAGTCAGCTTGTCATGCATATTCTGGGTTTCATTCTTGATATTAGGCCAGGTTTTTTTTAAATTAGGCATGGAAGTTCCTTGTTATAACCTCAGTGTTATTAGAATTCTGTGGACTCAAGTTAAAACCGAAATTGTGAACCTAATCCCATGTCTTTGCTGCAATTAATTTATGAAATGAAGAACAAGTCCATAATTTCTAAGCCTCCCTTCTTGACCTGCCTTACATCACACAATAGTGTTCTTCCCTAACCCTTCCACCTGTGGCCAGGTTGAGCTTGTGAGGTAACCCACATACTGGGGTCTATAAGGGGTTAAAAGGCCATCAGATCATCCTGGGGTGAACATCTTGACCTAGTTACTTCATTAATGAACATGTGGGTGGATCACTCAGTCAAAGGTTACATACGCAACTGATTAAGGAGATCAGTCAGCGTGGTGATAGGAAAGTGATATAGGGAGGAGTAGCAACTTCGTGTGGGACTTTATCACTGAGTCATTGGCAGCAATCATTACCTAAGGATTCATCTCGACCTCACAGCATAATATTCAGTCTGCTGCAGAGTCATTAAAAAATTTAAAAATTGGAGAAGTGTCACATTACATGTGAATATTAATACAAATAGCTACTGTTATGGCTTTCTAGAAATAGCCTTAATTTACAAATGCATAACAACAGGATGTAAAGCTTATGTTTTTGCATTGATGGCAGTCTCAAATACAAGGATTAATTTGGCTAACCTCTGATTTTGAGAAAATAAGAACTTTGAAAAAATTCAATTTTTCAACAAACTATATGTATTTTTCCTAATTTGCCTGCTGCTGTCACTAAGTTTAGAATACAGGATAAGTTTTAAAATGAAACTGAAGTTCAGGTAAATCATTAATAAATTGATAATTATGTTCTTTCCAATAAATCCAAAACTTGTATCAGTGATCTTGCAGTTTCCAGTTCAGGAAAGGAAAAAACACATGCCTATCACTATTTTGAGATCAGCAGATGTTGACAATCTCTCTCTGGTCGTGTGTAGAGGATATTTTTTGTGATTACACAATGCCATATATAAAGTGGTCAAATGTCTGGTGAAATATGATGTATCTGTCGTTGAGTGATAAAACGTGATATTTTCATGGCGTAGTCACGAGATGAGAGATACATCATATTTCACTACATACATGAATTTATCAAGTCTTTCAAATTCTGTTTGATTAAATCTAAAAAAGGTGTAATCTGATGAAATACAATTTTTGAAATCCAAATTCTCTGAGCTGGAAACTAAAGACTATTGGGTTTATTCAGGCACATAGACATAGTTTGATATTCGAAAATAACATAGAAGTGGAAACAACTCATATCTACATCAGTTGTTATCTCTTTATTTTTAGTCAGTGTGTAAATAAGATCATCACTTGTAATAATATCCAAACAATCCTTTTGGTCTTAGCTTTCGGTTGAAGTTGGTCATCCAATGCCCGTATTGCTGACCTTATGTATTTGGTGAAATATATATGTTGACAATGCTATATATAGTTTGTTGTGTGACAAGATACTGGACAGACAACTGTTTTTAGCCATGAAGTAGTTCCAGCAAAGTGATTTTTTCACTGCAGTAAAAATATCACTTTTCTCACTGAGACATCTCAGTCCTCCACACCTAAGTATATTATGAATACAACAACAGTGTCTATGTTGCACTGTTACACCAGCCCATATGGGAACAGTATGTGAACCCTTGTTGTCCCCTGCCATGATATTGCCCAACTATTGCTAAAAATGGTATTAAACCATACTGACTCACTCACTGTTATACCGTAGGAAAATGTTTGTTAAAAATCATGTAAAGGAGGAAATAGAAGGGAGGCATATGCTTGCATATGTTACTGTTTAAGGCTCTTTGTTATGATAAGAGTTTTATATCCTGTAAATGGAATATAAAAGCTTGTTGCCTGTATTACATCCTCCCCAGGAATGCTAGGGAAAAGAATGCCTGCTTGGACTGTAATGATATGAAAGCAGAAATAATCAGTGGTTAACAATTTCCGGTGTAGATGTGACCTTCTGGTGTGGGAAGGGGAGCAGGGAGGGGCATGTGAAGGATAGGTTCAGTATTAGGCTGTTTTTCAGTGACTAGGTAGGCTGACCTGTGTTTGAGTACAAATGATTCATCATGTTGATTGTCTTTGTCTGTTGAATAGGTAATTATTATCTTGTTGGATTTGCTTTGTAATGATGAATTTTTTATTATCAAACTTTACCTATTGATAATTTGCAGTGATCACTAATGTAGCAAGTTTGATATTGAGGGGATTTGTGATGTTATTTCGATATAGGCAGGTGGATGTCATATGTGTTCAGACAGGTGGCACTGTCTTGAGATTCTGTTTCCACCCAAACCTTGTCTTCCTGATTGGTAGTAAGTAGTGCCAGTGTCTCGTGTGCCAAATGTTTTCTTGTTCAATTTTTATGTGTCAGGGTTCTTATCAAATAGGCCATATATGTTTAAGATAAACTTGGGGAGATAACTTAGTGAACAGTATCTTTGTTCAAAGGTCATGCCTGAGGAGTAAAAGAAAAGGGTGGTCATGAAAAGCCCTATGGTAGAGGCCCTGATTTTAGGTCAGATAAGGCCCCAAGTACCCCATGCTTGTTGATGAAAATGAGGAATTGGCAGTCACTTGTGTGGTTCTTTGCTCGTGATATCAACCAGTTTGTGTAGCTTAGATTGTTGCCTCTGCAGGGAAACTCACTCACTCACTTACTCACTCATTGGTCGCTAAGACAATCACATTTACTGACTGAAGAGCGTGTACATGGAAATAATGCTCTGATGTACCTTGTTACACAGTAGGCAGGCTTAACAGACAGGTACTTAGTAAGAGTGCTGAGTGAATTAGTTCCTACATATAAGCTGCTCATACACTGAGGGAATCTCGGATTAGTGTTATGCTAAGTACATGGCCAAGTTTGGAAACACAATGTAAGATTACCTACTTTATCTTGCTAAAGAAGATTAAGAGACTAACACCAACTAGTTGTCTAGCCAACTGTTTGATGGTGCAAAAACTTGTTTGACCTTTCTGTAAGTTACCAGTTTGCTAGTCTAGAAAATCTGACACACTCACAGATTAGCACAAACCACATATTGAATAATTGTTTGATTGACTTGCACACACTGAATGAAAGCTGTTTAATATTGTCACATTGGTATACATTTTTACATGATATTTGAACATTATTCATCCATGAGTTTTGCTTAATTCCTGTTTGAAGAAAGTACAACTTTGTAGAAGAATGTAGAAGCATGAACTGTAATAAGCCTACTTCATCCAATGCTAATTCTCTCTTAAAACACAGTACTCCAGAGATGCATATGGTTTAATACCT